TTTTTTTTTTTTTTTTTTTTTTTTTTTTTCCGGCTATCACATTCTTGAGTTATTGGACTAGTTTACCATTTTGACGTTATGAACTTTAGGTCCTAAGGTCCGTAACTGCTGACCTTTACCCCAAGTGAATATTCTTTTAATGATAAGACATCTGCATTCAGGAGAGGAAGAAATCAGTACAGTAGATAAGACATCATCTTTGAGCGAAGGGACCTTAGGAAAAAGCCCCCGACTTTACTAATTAAAGAGCTTCATAATTCGTATTAAATACAGTGGATCATATAGTAGTGAGAAATCTAGCATCTGGTTAACTTCCTGGCGTGTTCGAAATGTTTCGTTTTTTCCTTGAATGTGCTTTGCTTTCCTCTAATCCAAGTCTTCTATGTACGAGCCTTGACAGCCATACCAATGAATTCAATGTCTGATTTATGTGGTTCTAATTATTTGTTGCACATTTTGTTCAACTTTCTCAGAAAGTAACTATCCTGCAACGTTTAACATTATTCTAGTGTTTGCCATCAAATAATTTTCTTAGAAGGGTTGTTTTTGAGTATTAGATATGATGAGTGAGATTATATCCTTTCTTGTCCACCAGCCAATCACGAGGAAAAGTCCAGGCGAGGAGAAGATGACGAGCCAGGAAGACATGCTTCTTGAAGCTGCTCACACAGGTGAAACTGATGGTTAATGTATGTTATTGTAGGTTGCAACACTGGGTGGATACTTTTAAGGGATCTTTTCATATTTGTCTTGTATTAATATTTCAGACTTCCATATCTAAGAAATCATGAACCTGAGAAATTTGGAGCGTGTTTTTGCATGAGAAGTAAAAAAAAAAAAAAAGAGAGAGCAATTGTGCATAAAGCTGTGTACAATGGGATGATAACTTGTCCGTGTTTGGAATTATGTTATATTGGTGTATTTTGTAGCAGGTTGCTCGTATCTATTTCAGGCAGAGCCTTCTTATTGGTACATGATCATTACCTCAATGAAGCTTTTCATTGAATTAATGTTAAGGGAGGAGCGCTCAAAGATACAACTCCAAAGAGATAGTAAGTAAATAATAGGCAGAATTAGTGAAAGAAAGACTTCCCAATTCATACAAAGATCTTGCGAAGAGAACCTGAAAATAGTAGAAAGGGAACACAGATGAAATACGAACGAGAATCTTTAAATCTAGCCATCGATTTAAACATTCTTGAAACTCTGGCAACAGTCTAACCGAAATGTTGAAATAGTAGCCTACAATGGGTCCTCAACAATTGCTATCTCCGCAGAATTTGTCCGGCATCTTGCTTGTGTTTACAGTCTTTTGTCACTTTTAGATTTGTTCCGTTAAAAAGAAAAGAAAAGACAAAGGTGGCTTGTTCTGACCAGTGTATAGCCTCCTGAATTGGAGCCGTAACTTAGGAGGGTAACTCAATTGAGAGTCAGAGGATCCATTGCACTTGCAGTCTGTGAATATTCATTATTTGCACTTAGCAGTCTGTGAATATTCATTATTGTAGAAAGTGGAGAGAAAGGATCTCTCTTCTACAATGGAAAAAAACGGAGCTAATTCGACTCAATACAACCTAACCATATATTCAATACCAATAATGCATTGCTAGATCTGTGCTCCATCAAACTATACAGGCAACAAATGTGGTTTGACCGGAAGCTTCCCTTCATCACTTCTTTCACACTGAGGGAACCGCATCCGCATCCGCATTAGTTGAAGTGGCGAAATGCCCTCGAGCCAAGACTCGAGAGCTTTGGAGAATGAAGTGGTGCCCTCTTGAAAGCTTCATTGGTTCTCACCTTACCAGTTTCTCAGTGAAGACTAAGACCCTTTAAAAATATATGAACCGACCAAAATCATAGGGACTAATAGTATATTTCAATAGTATAAGCCACAGATAACTATCTAGGTATCGTATAACACCTGTGAAATCTG